TCATTAGCTTTCCATCATTTTGTTCACTGTCAATATGACTAAAACCATTCTTTATCTCTATGAACCCAACTAGAAGCAGTAATACTTCACATTTATACTTGTGCATGGAAAATTCAGTTCTTGCCAGTTAATAAAATAGAATAGCAATGCCATTTTGAAACATTATGGCACCATGACTACATTTGAGTTCCAAGAAAAATGAAGTGTGCTAAATGCCTTCTGAAAGTAAATCACAGTGAGGTCAATGTAGACTGGTAAATATTTATTTTACACTTTATGGATGTTGAAAAAGAAAATGTATTTCCTTATTGGGTCAATACCTTTTAGGGATTCTTGAATCACTTCAGTGTAAATTATAACTTTAAAGTGTAAATTGGGCTTTAAAGATATCTCTGAGTGTGTCAGATTCATTCTTGCTCTTTATGTCCTGATCTTTTAAATAAATAGATATCCAAAAGTCATTATACTGCCTTTGAATATTTGTCAAGAATCAAGTCAGTATGTTTGACATTCACATAAAATATTTACCTGGATAATTAAATTGGAATACTCAAAACTGTAATTTCCATTAAGAATTAAATACTGCCAATCTTATACTAAGAGTTAATTCTAAAAATGGCAATTGTGTTTATATATTTGGAAACTATATACAATTTCTATTATGGCTCTAAGAAATAACCACACACTGTTAATTCCTTGGGGCTTTTATGATGAAATTTGTATGTTGAACCAAAAAACAGTAAAAATGGTTACATTAAAGCCCAAGGTTTTAGCAGTGTTTTTTTTCAGTCCAGGAGGCCATGGATGAATTTTAAGGGGAATAACTAAGTACACAGATCAGAATTAGAATTGTACCTGTCTGAATTCCAAGACACAAGAAAGGCTTAGTTTCTTAATAAGGCTTAGTGAGCAAAGGTGCCTGTCATCAAGCTTGATGACCTGAGCTCCAGTTCTTGAAACCTATGTCATTTCTGACTTCCATACAACACACACACAGACACACACACACACACACACACACACACACACACACTCATATATACATAAACACACTCACACACACATACACACACTAATACATGCGTACACATATATACACATACATCACTATCTTTCTCTCTCACACATACATACACAAACACACATAGAGTGAATAAATAGATAAACAAAATAAAAGTGTTTTAAAAGTTGAAACTCACTCTGGAGGCAGCAGTTTACCAAATAGAAATTCCCAAGATCAATTAACTGCTTTCTCTATTTTTCAACTTCTTTTGTATGTGATATTAACAGGACATTATTATTCGATCCAGTATTAAAACATGAATGTATAAAATGACTACAAGTAAACAACCTCTTACTTTGTACTTTGGGAAAAATGTATAAATCTCTACACAGGACTTTCAAAAGAAACTATCTGACTACTTGTGCTTTTCAAATACATTATCTCACTGAAAGGAAAAAAAATCTTTGATGTGGGTAGAGGCAACTGTGAGGTGAAGGATCCATGACATAATAGGCATGAATACTCAACTCACATGTGATGTTGGTAACTATGTATTACATCTAGGAAACCAGTTGTCATCCAGAACCCTAAATTGATATTAAGTTGAGGTAGAAATTATATCTGATCTACTTCAGGGGAAATGATTTTAACTTGTGAGTGAAATCAGCAGGACTTGGGGATTTTAGTGGAGTAGTCCTACCATATAAAAGAAATATCATGAATATTTTATTTTCCATGTATGTAAAATATTCCAGTACTGAAGCTCATCAAACCGTGTCATGGAAAGAGACTGGTTTGTGCATATCAGCTTAGAACACCTAGTCCAAACCCATGGGAGTGATGCCAAGGGCCATAAGAAATACAGCAGGTGATAGTCAGTGTTCACCTGGTCGACCTACCAGTTGGGTGACTCTCTGACTGGGAGCCCCAGATGGTTAGGCTGTGTAGTTACTGACTGTGGAAACAAGTTGCTCCTCCCTGTAATTTCTCTTATGAGTCACTTCATTTCTCCCCTAAGAATAGCCTTAGGTGGTTTCCAGCTACTTGTGCGTTTATCTCATGAAAATATCCCATCTACTGGGCACATATACCTGTGAATAGTCAGGAATATGACTTTTCACTTGCATGTATAATTTTGATATATAGAATACATACTGGGATATGCTTCATAGCTGGGTCGATTTGTTCCACAAGGACTGTGGGCACTTAACAGCCTGGCTTGTTATTTTGCTCTGACTAACTGCACACAATTAGCTCACTTTCACATCAGAGCAAGTTCAAATTAGACTCAAGGATTTTTTTGCAAATATATCATAAGTTTAAAATATTTCAGCTATGTACAAGGTCAGAGCCACAGATGTCCACCTAAGGTTACTAAGGAAAGCATACCAGTCTGTTAACAAAAGAACTATGTCTCAAAGCTTATCTCACTGTGCCCTTCCCACCCACCGGTCACTGTATCATTTCTGTAACCTTGGACCCTTGTGTTGCCATGGCAATGGCTCAACTCCCTATCATTTGCCCTAGGAATGTGCTCTTGTCCAAAGAGAAACAACTCTTGTAATTTATCATTTCAAAGCTCCTGAAGGAGAAAAGCTTTTAGAAGAGAAGAGGAAGAAGGTAGAGAGGAATTAGTAGTATGATGGGAAAGTGCTTCTGCGTATGTGTTTGTCTTACTGGATGATAAATAAAGTACTGTTTGGCTCATGAGGCAGCAAGTTAGGCAGGACTAGGAGTCAAGGAGGATTCTAGGAAATGTAGTAAAGAAGTGGTGATCCAGGCAGGAAGTGACATAGCAGGGAGACTCATATACAAACAAGGGCAAGAAGGAAGTGGGCCCCTCTCTCTTCCTCCAGAGTTACCATGTGAGCCCGGGAAGACAGGATACTTGCCACTGGCATCCAATAAGATAAGTCTTACAAAATATATGGATTTATGATAATTAAGACTGAGCTAGCAGATGAGAAATCCTAGTCATTGGCCAAGAAGCATTTGTACCTAATATAAGTCTGTGTATTAGTTTGTATCATAAGAGTAGTAGTAGGGCAAGAAGAGAATTAGAATAATAGCAGGACAATAAAGCAACTGATATGGAAAAGTATGTAGTAGAGAATTCATTCACCCTCAGATTTTTCTAAGTCCCCCTCTTGCTGAAGCATCCCATCTGAACCCTGAGGGGGCATTGAGGCTGGTCCTCAAAAAGTCCCTGTTAAGTGAGAAAGAAGGTAGCAAATGAATAAAAATTTAAAGCACAAAACAATTACTAATGATGTAGAACTCCTCTAGAATAAAAATAAACTCATAAAAGTTGATAAATAAATCAAGAAAATAAAAAGCAAATAAATAAGTAAAATTAACTTACCTTTCTTAGGAGCTGGAATGTTTGGCAAAGTGTTTGTTTTGCAAGCATAAGGATCTGAATTAGACAGGCACACATATGCATAAATATGCACATGTGAACATGGGCATGCACGCACATGCTCTCGCTCTCTCTCTCTCTCTCTCTCTCTCTCTCTCTCTCTCTCGCACACACACACACACGCACAGACACACACACACACACACACACACACACACACACACACACGAAAAATGAAAAATCTCCTTCCATACTGTCAAGAGCCCAGGGAATCAAATTCAAGAAACTTTGCCAAGCATGGATGAGGGATCTTATGATTGTTAACATTCTATTCTTTGAATTTGCCAATGATGAGTCTTGCTAATGAAACACACAAGTACCATTTTGGGTGGGGGGAGCGGGTACTGTGATCTCCTGGCAAATACTCCTGTGATCTACCTTCATATTCTCTAACCATACAGACTAGGCATTAGGCTCTATTTGTGTTTTAAAGGGCAAAATAATAGGAGTTTAAGAAGGAAATTGATTTTTCTGATAGTTGCACACAGAAACAAATGTTCATGAAAATTTCCTTTACAAACACTACACTTGATTTTCAAAATCTCCATTTTTTTGATCAGTAATTTCTAAACCTCAAATGTGGACTATGACATATGAAAAATGTCTTGAAATAAGTTTTGAAGAGAATGTAAAACTTAGATGGATATTATCCCCTCTAAGATGGAATCAATAAGATAGTAAATGTCATGCTCAATGAATGTTCCTGAGCATATCCTAAAAGGATACTTTGGTAACTTTCAATTTAGATGCAATAATATCTAAGTGAATGTAATAATGTAATAATATGTAAATACAGGATTTATTGTAAATGTGACATGTGAATCCCATAGTTTAAAAAATAATTTTTCACATTTTTACTATCCTAAAATATGTCTATTATATACATATTTCATAAAGTGAATACATTTAAAATATTTTAATTTCCCTTTTTGCTAAATATGGATATTCAATAATTATTGATAAAAATGTTATTAATTTTTAAGAAATATTACTTTAGGAATAAAGGAGCACATAAGTAAATATATGTACTTAATATGCTGACAACCTTTCAAAGGAGTTGATTTCTTTCCATTTTAGTGACAAATAAAACCAAAGATGACAAGATTATATGTTAAGTATCTGAACTATGCAAACAAGTGCAGTTACTACATCACTTAATTGTAGTAGTTTTAAGTTACAAAAGCTTGAAACAGTAAATATACAAGGTTCAAAGACATAAAAGGATGTTGAGTTAATGTAGACAGAGCATAAAGACAGGGAACACTTACTTGACTCTATGGGAATGATGAAAGATGGTTGCCAGGGAAAGAAGAAAGTAGGATAGAATGTGGGGCTATGCCAAGGGGGCCACAAATAGAAGCTGAGATTTTTTCTGTTGTATCCCTCTCTGCTTGTCTAGACCACAGTTGTGTTCATTTGGGACATGTGACCCATCACTAACCCAAAAGAGGGTTTCACAGAAAAATTAAACTAAACATCCAAAGTAGGATTAATACCAACCCTTCTTAAACTCTCTGAATGTGTACAGAATACTTCCAAACTCACGAGAAAAGCATTGCTTTGATACAAACAAGCAAGTCTCAAAGGAAGATGACTATTGGCCAACATTTCTAATAAGATGGAGAAGATGAAAAATTGCAGCAAAATACTAGCAATTTTTAATTAGCAATAACTGTGCCCCAGAAAAACTTCACTGGCTACGATACTGCCACTGTGCAAAGCTTAGCAATTTTAATTATGTTATTAACATAGAACATAAAATGATTGTATACCACAATCAAGTGGGGTGTAAGAATATTTCAATGCATAAAAATCAATCAATATACCACATTTTCATAAAAATTATATATAAAAGACTACTTGAACATATCAATAAAAATAGAAAAGGCATCCAATGTAAGTTAACATCTTGTCATGCTTTACAAAGCCCTCTTAGCAATAAAGGGCATATATGACCCTCTCAACAATAAAGGCTATTTATGAAAAGCCATAGCTAACATCAGACTCAACAGTGGAGAGCTGAAAACTTTTCCTTTAAGAACAAAACACATATGCCACTCTCACCACTGCAATCAAGATAATCCTAGGAGCCCTCATCATAGCAGGTAAATGTGAGAGATATAGATTGGAAAGGAAAAAAAAAACAAATGTTTGCGTATGACATTATCACACACACACACACACACACACACACACACACACACACACACATAAAACCCTAAGGACTGTGCTTAACCACAAACACAAATGCACCTCAATTGCTAGAACTAATAAATGTATTTTTAAAGTTGCTATGTATAAAATCAATATAAAAAGATCATCCATGTTTCTTTATACAGTGTGATACAAATAACAAAATTAAGAAAATAATCTCATTCATAAGAGAAAAGAAAGAATTGAAGATGGAAATAAAGGTAAGCAGAGTTGAAAGACTTATACACAGAAAATTATAAACAGCCTTGCCTTTCCTGGAAACTATTCTACCATCCTTGCTTGGCAGCCAGTAGTAGCTTTCCTTGGCAATGACAGAAGATCCATAATCACGTCAATGTGCCACTCATTTAGCCTGCCTCACTCTGTACTAACTCATGCCTCAAACTGTCTGAACCAATTTAATCATCTGATTATAATCTTCTGCATACATTCCTCCACAATCAGGTACAATTTTTTCTTTGCCCTCCCTGACCTGTTTTGCCCTCATTCCTCAGCTCTAGTTACCAATATTAACTACTATAAAACTTGGTTCATTCAAGTGGCTTCATTAAAGACAATTGGAGAAGAACTATAGCAAGCTCATCAACCAGCATCAAACAGTTCCTTTCCATTTTGTCTCTGAATTTTCTGAATGAGTTGATGTCTTTTATTTTATTCTCATTCTTTTTATGTAAGCAAATTCAGTTTAAATCATAATACTCTACACCTCATTTCATTGACATAAAAGGACATCACAGTTTTTTTCCTTGGGACCTGAGAAGTTTTCTTGTGAATGATTAAAATCAGAAGGATATTAAAGAACAAAAATTACTGTAGGTCTTGACTATAAGCACACATTTCATCCTATCACCGGCCT